CACAAGAGTGTCCCACAAGAGTGTCCCACAAGAGTGTCCCACAAGAGCGTCCCACAAGAGTGTCCTACAAGTGTGTCCTACAAGAGTGTCCCACAAGAGTGTCCCACAAGAGTGTCCTATAAGAGTGTCCCACAAGAATGTCCTACAAGAGTGTCCCACAAGAGTTTCCTACAAGAGTGTCCCACAAGAGTGTCCCACAAGAGTGTCCCGCAAGAGTTTCCTACAAGAGTGTCACACCAGAGTGTCCCACAAGAGTGTCCCACAAAATTGTCCCACAAGAGTGTCCTACAAGAATGTCCTACAAGAGTGTCCCACAAGAGTGCCCCACAAGAGTGTCTCACAAGAGTGTCCCACAAGAATGTCCGACAAGAGTGTCCCATAAGAGTGACCCACAAGAGTGTCCTATAAGAGTGTCACACAAGAATGTCCGGCAAGAGTGTCCCATAAGAGTGACCCACAAGAGTGTCCTATGAGAGTGTCCCACAAGGAGTGTCCTACAAGAGTGTCGTGTAAGAGTGACCCACAAGAGTGTCCCGGAAGCGTGTCCTACAAGAGTGTCTACAAGAGTGTCCCGCAAGAGTGTCCTGCAAGTGACCCACAAGAGTGTCCTACAAGAGTGTCCCACAAGAGTGTTCCACAAGAGTGTCCCAGAAGAGTGTCCTACAAGAGTGTCCCGCAAGAGTGTCCTACAAGAGTGTCCCACAAGAGTGTCCCACAAGGGTGCCCCGCAACAGTGTCCCACAAGAGTGTCCTGCAAGTGACCCACAGAGTGTCCCACAAGAGTGTCCCAGAAGAGTGTCCCACAAGAGCGTCCTATAAGAGTGTCCCACAAGAGTGTCCTACAAGAGTGTCCCACAAGAGTTTCCTACAAGAGTGTCCCACAAGAGTGCCCCACAAGAGTGTCCTACAAGAGTGTCCCGCAAGAGTGTCCCACAAGAGTGTCCCATAAGAGCGTCCCACAAGAGTGTCTCACAAGAGTGTCTCACAAGAGTGTCCCTTAAGAGTGCCCTACAAGAGTTTCCTGCAAGAGTGTCCCACAAGAGTGTCCTACAAGAGTGTCCTACAAGAGTGTCCCAGAAGAGTGTCCTTCAAGAGTGTCCCACAAGAGTGTCCCACAAGATTGTCCCACAAACGTGTCCGACAAGAGTGTCCTATCCTATGAGAGTGTCCCACAAGAGTGGCCCACAAGAGTGTCCCATAAGAGTGTCCCACAAGAGTGTCCTACAAGAGTGTCCCATGTCCCACAAGAGTTTCCTACAAGACTGTCACAGAAGAGTGCCCCACAAGAGTGTCCTACAAGAGTATCCCACAAGAGTGTCCTACAAGAGTGTCCCACAAGAGTTTCCTACAAGAGTGTCACACAAGAGTGCCCGACAAGAGTGTCCTACAAGAGTATCCCACAAGAGTATCCCACAAGAGTGTCCGACAAGAGTGTCCTACAAGAGTGTCCCACAAGAGTGTCCCACAAGAGTATCCCACAAGAGTTTCCTACAAGAGTGTCCCACAAGGAGTGTCCTACAAGAGTGTCGTGTAAGAGTGACCCACAAGAGTGTCCTACAAGAGTGTCTCACAAGAGAGTGTCCCATAAGAGTGACCGACAAGAGTGTCCTACAAGAGTGTCCTACAAGAGTGTTGTGTAAGAGTGACCCACAAGGGTGTCCTACAAGAGTGTCTCACAAGAGAGTGTCCCATAAGAGTGCCCGACAAGAGTGTCCTACAAGAGTGTCCCACGAGAGTGTCCTACAAGAGTGTCCCACAAGAGTGTCCTACAAGAGTGCCTTCAGGAGTGTCCCACAACAGTGTCCTGTAAGAGTGTTCCACAAGAGTGTCCTACAAGAGTGACCCACAAGAGTATCCTACAAGAGTGTCCCAGAAGAGTGTCCCACAAGAGTGTCCTACAAGAGTGTCATTTGGACATATGTAGCTTTTCGAACGTGTTTGCATTCGGGTTCGTGGGTTCCATCTTGTTTTCTTCACGATAGACACCAGTAGTTTCAAAGACAGCAGCTGTTTCAAACAGAATCGTAGATACGTAGTTTTCAGTCCTGTTGAGCATGTGCAGTAATTGAAATACCCAACCTATACCAGTTTCTTTTGTTTGAGGGCAAGGTGCGACCACCCGCGACAAACACTGATTCGCCACTGATCGTGCCTTATCGCCGCAGGATATGTCTTGCATCCAGCTGTTTTTGACGGAACCATCCACAGTTTGGGCACTGCCTCTGTGGGGAAGAACGTGAACGATTTGAAGATCTTTGGAGGTGTTGGGCGTGTCTCCATCATCCAGACGGAAAACTTTTCACAGAACGACGCTTGGTGTTCGAAGGATTGAAGGTATAACTTGATTAAATTTGGGACAAATATATGCAGCGGCAGATGGTCCATGGTTCAGATTGAGACATGCATTATTTTAGGTCAGCGGTCAGCGGTTGTACTGGTACAGTACAATGGTCGGACCTCTACCTCTACATGTCAGGGTTGGGGCGCCAAGATCAATGAGAACATGAGACCACGCCCCAGCTGCCCAACCAAGAACGGTGAATAACAAAATGGATGCAGCATGCCATCCCTTGAGCCGAACCATTTTCCACGCAGAGGACGAGTATTGGATTTGGCTGAGCATCAAAGAGAAGTTGGAAGCTTCAGAGACTTTTGACCTCAAGGCTGTTCCGCACAGTTTCTGCAAAGCCGATCCCATGGACTCACGCATCATGCCAGCACGTCACGCCACGAAGATTCAGTCACCAGGCCAGTCTACAAGTTTTACTTGCAGGTCATGTCCACCACGGGCACGGTGCTGATGCTCATGGACAACGTGGTCTTCCGGAAGGCACCGGACCGGACCGTCAAGGACCCTGTCAAGTCTCAGCCAGCCATGTTTGGATGCTGGACGATGCACCCTGGACAGGGCCTCCAACAAAAAACGGTATTGCGCCCCAGTGCGTTGTGACTGACTATCACAGACATTCATAGTTTGTCTCATTAGAGGGTGAACTGGGTAAACTTTCAAGCGACTCTCGGTTTCTTTAAACTCTTTGTCTTTGTCAAAGACCTTGATATGTGTGCTGCAGTTTCTTCCGATGATGCCTTTTCTGCTAAACGAAGCCTTGAGGGGGAGAAGAACTGTACTGAGAATATACTGAATATACTATAACTGCAATTTCTAAGCATAGTTGGTGTCAATATTGGAGAAGCAGTCTAAACGGGGTCAACACTGAAGCCAGGGTTTTGCCGCTCCATCCGCGGGTGTCTTTTTCCAGAGCATCACCAAATTATGAACTCGGCCATGCGCTACAAATTAATTATGTGCCTGGCTCTTTGCTTGGTCCAAATCCTGTTGGTTGGATGTTGAATTGAGATTTAATTACATGTGACATGACCCGGGTAAGCTACATGACACTCGTTTATGTTGTCAACATAAAGAGGATGTTCCCAGCAACCCTCACTGAAACAAGTTTTCAGAACCTGAGGATATTCTGTGCGTCATACAGAGGATATTCTATGTCCCAACCCTCAAGTGTTTGCCAGGTCGTCCATGTTGTTATTTTGTCTGTGTAATTTGGTGCAAGAGAGCTGTTTGTGGGGACTTCATGATTCCGAACCAAGCATCTAGAGCGTGTTTATCCCAGAGCATGTTTATCCCAGATTTCGACTGACTATAGAATAAGAGCGACCACCTTTTATACACAACAGCCACGTCGTGGGCAGGTCTTGCCTGAACAGATTCAGATGGCCATCGCTGCACAGTCTACACCAGAGGATGACTTGCACTCAGCCGATTGGGCAGGTTGGCATGGTTCTTTGGTGGGGAGGAGAACCGAAGGGTGTTTGTGAGAAGAAAGATCTTCCCGACACCGGCTTGGAGTTGGACTGGATATTCCAGACGCAGGGCGGACAGCTGAAGTGGCTCTTCACCAAGAGATTAGTTCCCCGGAGGAGTAACCAATCGATCTGAGTTACATGCTCAAACCTGGTGATGTGGGAGGGCTCATTGTACAGAATCCCCGTGTCCCCACTTCTTGAAGGTGAGCGGTTTCTTTTGGGTTATGTAGTCATGTCTGACCGTGTGCTGTGGATCCACTTCCCCTCCCTTGATTCGAGCACTCCTGAATCGTGTTCGCGTGTTCGTGACCGCCTGCAATTTTCTTAGGCCAAAGTGTCAACCTGCGTGTGGAAACCAAGCGACCAACGAAGGCGCTCTCTCCGCAGCATTTGGGTTCACAGCATCACAGAACAAAGCCATCAGCTCTTCAAGTCGGTCTTGACGCAATGGCCCAGGCTATGAAGGGAATGAAGGTCATCAAGAATATGAAGGTCGGCGCCAGATGAAACTGAGTGTGGGTTGTCATGGAAATTGCTGTACATGGTTCACCCGCCCAAACAAATATAAGAAAATAGCAATATTCAACTGAATGGGACACGAGTTCTCAGCCACCCTGAACAACCTGGAGATCCTTCTACATATGTATGAAAATAAGAAGACGACCAGCAAGTTTCTGTAAGAGGTTGTATACATCAAACAATATTATCTTTTGCCAGTGGTTTCTGGAAGTCTCTATATAACTGTAGTTATAACTGTTTGAAGGTGGTGGAACCAATAAGTCAGTTGAAACCGCATATGCACATGTTCCTTACCCAATACAGGTCCCGTGCAGATAGTGCCTGCCACCTCAAATGGCCCACCAGTTCAGTAAACTCGAACTATTTGTAAACATCCTTATTTCTCATGTTATTTCCCGTTGCGAACCAGAGGCGTGACGACGTGGGGGTCAAGCCATGTAAGCCAGTCAAAGAGTGCCAGCCTTCACGCTCAACACGGATCTTCTAAAGATTTGTGGACATGTTCTCGCCACTGGTAGCCTGATGCATGCAATACATATGTCTCTTCCATAGATGTTGGAAGAACTGATATAATATGTCCATATATTTCCTGATTCCATGTTGAATCTATCAATCCAAAATCCAATGACTCTGTGAACCTATCCAGTTGGGCCTCCATGACCCCATCCCTTTTCTTCGCCTGTCTTTTTTGCTACGGCCAAGATCATTGCTAAGAAGAACAAGAAGATCGTGCCCTGGCGCAGATCCGTTGGGTCCTGCTCACCGTAAAAGTTGAAAAAGTTGAGTTGAACTAGAAGTTCGTAAGAGGTTATCATTGTTTGTTGGTAGATGTCGCTCTCAGTCATGGTGGTCCACTGTGTTTATAGCAGTTTGTTACTGCTCAATATATAAAACAACAAAGTACTGAGTATGTGTATATATATAAATATGTGCAGTATGTCAAGCGATACCCAAGGCTTCCAAGGATTGTATTGAAATGGGGAGACTTCCAAAACCAATGAGGTGTGTATGTTGGAACCAAAAAGAAACCCATTAGGGATCAGCAGTCATTGGCAAAGGGGCTTGCCCAGCAATCCAGCTGCCAAGAGCCACAGTGAATGCTTACGCGCGCTCCCCCTGAAACCAGAGGATTGGGTACAGGAACTTGGCCCCAAAGACCCTTTTCCCTTTGCTCTAAGGGTTCTAGCGTCGCTAGCGTTCATTCTTTGCAACCTACCGGCATTCTCGCGACCATGTCTCGTAGCCTCATCGCTACGTCCCATCGCACCCCGACAGACTTCGCCAGAACAGACCTCCGCGCATTTGGCGCCGAGGAGATCTCCCCCATCACTGGCTTGCCCAAAAGGATCCGCCGCGACAATGGGCGCGAAGCCGCTGCCAAGGCCGCAACGATGACCAAGGACGGGTTCCGACTGCACCGACCGGGTCCTCGTTTCAGAAAAGCACAGGCACCGTCATGTTCAACCAACCGCAGAAGACCTTGGGGTTTTGCAGAATCAAACAAGAACAAACTTGAAACATCTTGAAACGTTGAAACACGACACGGACGCTGTCACGCATTATAGTCTTTTTTTGAACTGTACACGTCAAATCTTCTTTGCAGGGAGTTAATCACGTGCCAACACGTGTCAACTATCAGAAATATGGCGGTTATTTTTTTGCCCACATCCAGTATAAATCATCTACCCTTGATTATCCAAAAGCTCCAAACAGCCCTTGGTCCCTCACAACCTCGGTAAGAGCTGGTTCGAATCACATGCAATCAACCAATGTTCCAATAAGGGCACTTATGATGCTAAGCTAAGCATCAACCGAAAACACCTCGCCGAACCAGGAGGAATGGCTGACTTACCAGACGGACTCTTGGGCGGCATTGGTCGGTGCCGCATTGTGGGCCCCATAAAGACCCGGAGTTCTTGAAATGTTGGACTATACATAATCATGGCATTTCAAACTCTGTTTTTGCTGCTCATTCTCATCCACCAGTTGCACGCTTGGTGAATTGGCCGTGTCTCGAGCCTCCTTCTGATGTGAACCTGCCCTTGAAAACTGGTGGTCACTAGGACCCTGATTGAGCGGCCGAACAGGGAAATCCTCGACGCCACAAAAATATCACAAATCATATCGGTGATCTATAATTCCATATCTATTTGACCCTTCTTAGACTTGGTCCTTTTCATCAAACGATTGGGCCCGTTGGGCTCCCAAGTTGATACCATGATTCAAGAGGGGAGTGGTGAAGGGGTATTGGATGGTATTGGTATTCAACATCGGTAAATCACTAGAAGACCCGGATTGACTGATTGGCAGAAAATCACATTTGCATGTAGATGCTGCAGATCACAGTCCAGTGTGTTTTTAGTCCGGGACCTCCCCTTGAAAAGCCGCTCGAGGACAAGTACAGGGCTCAGTGGCCAAAGCCGAAGTACATGTCCGAGCCCCGGGAGATGGTGTATGTACGAGACGGAGGCGATGGAGCATACCGACAGAAGACATATGTCCCTTGGAATTGCAACCATAGATGGGTTTTAGATGGGAGGGTGAGCGGAGGTGGGTATTAACAATAGGGCGAGGGTGGACTCGTGCCACCTCGGGGATCAGTTGGTATGAGATGATCAATCAAATTGCACTGCTATTCAAGGCTATTCATACACACGGAGGACCCACTCAGCATCCTAAAGGGCAAAACATTGGTGCCACTTGACCTTGGGAGTTGTCCTGCTTTCGCTGAAAGGCCACCATGGTATTTCAATGTATAGGATTAAGGATTACAAGACCAATAGCGATGGCCTCCACCTAATATATTTCATACAGGCGACTTGGTCAGCTCAAGTTGCACTTCAGTCGATTGGGCGCCCAGGAGATTGTGACCCGATGGACGGCCAAAACCAAGATTGAGTACCGCCCCCACGCGAAGGCACCCGGATCCAAGAGTCACATCCGTGCCTGGGCGCGAGTCATGCGGCACTGGGTGGAAAGGAATGCAGACGAGAAAAGTGTGTTTGAACAAAGTGCCCATCAGATCTATATAGCTGTTGGTCTCCATGTGGACCAATTTGGAGGGTTGTAGTTGGTTCTGAAATGATTCATACTAACTTTATCTATATCTCCCAGTATGTCCGTGATTGACAAACACGGATGTCCTTCTTGGTTGTTTTGATGGGTCACAAATCACAGGTACACCTTTAACCTTCTTGGAGAAGAGTGGTGTCCCCGTTAGAGGTCAACAGGTGGAGTGTTCTTTTTGTGTTTTGCTTTTAATGCAAGTGAGTCTCGGTGACAAGGACGTTTCCGCTCTGGTTTGTTTGGGCAAGATTGTTTTGCTTTTCAGGCCCCATGTTTCTTTGCCCAGCCTTTGCAAGGATACGAGAAGTATTCCAAGGCAAAGACAGCTCCTCGGCTCCTTCCATTGACTTCCTGGAACATCCACAGGGACAAAAGGGACCATTATTGGTTGCCTCAAGTACTGTTTTGGAAACAATCATTGCACCTTTCGGAACAGGGCGGGAAGATGATTTGTTCTACAGGAGTTTTGTTATAATTTGTGGTGGTCTCCACTTTAACAAGGTTTCTGAGCATCATCGTAGAATTCTGAAAGCAGACACGGTTCAAAGTAAGTATACATGTAGTAAGGCCACTCAAACCATTAATCTGAATCTAAACTTTTGAATGAGATGCACCATTCAAGCAAATAAGCCTACTTTGTGCATATGTGCTGGAGGTTTGTTTGCCGGTTTTGGCCGGCTTTCAGACTGCGAGACTGCATCTATTTGTTCAAGGGCTTGGTATATATTCAGAAGAACATCTTCCGGAGGTTCATTCCTCAAGCTTCCATAGCAGGGGAAGAGAAACCCTCAAAACCTTCACCTTTTAGGGCGTGTCTCAGGGATTTGCAAATTTGGGAGGGTGCCACATCATTTTTCCAGTGTGTGCCCCTGGTCGTGGGAGGTCAGGGCCTGGTTTAGCAGGAAGTGAGTTCTGTCAATTCCTTAAAACCATATGCTTAACATCGGGTGGTGATCCGTATCAAACCATGACTCCCAGCTTGCTTTGTGCCTAAGTAGGGCTGCCGCCAGATTTTCCAGCAAAAGGAAGATCTTCCCCTTTCTTGTCAGTCTTAAAACGATCTTGAAGTTGGACCCTGCAGCGTTGGAAAGGCGCATTTCATCCTTTGCGTTGCCAGGTCCAAGGTCAAAGTGAGACTACCAACTGACTCTGAATAAGTACTGCTGATGGAAGACTTATGCACAACTCCAACCTAAGGGCGATGGCCTCCAACCTAAGTACTGCTGATGGAAGACTTCCTCCACCACCTGTGAAGGCAAAACACTTGTGACTTTAGGTCTCCCAGTTTCTCTTTCTCAACCCTCAGACCACGCCTGGAGGTCGGCGAAGCCCTGGCACTTGGATGTTATCCTGTA